AATTATTCCTACTATTATTATTATAATTGTTATTATTATTATTATTATTAATATGTGTAGGCTTTATATATCATTAATCATGATTGTGTTTAAAATTATTTAGCAACGAATTGATGAAGGGAGTAAACAAAAAGAGGAAATACGCCAATTCGAGAAATATCTTTATAACTATGATTAACAAATAACGTAAAATTTTATAGGAATTTTGTAAGTTACATTAAGTATATCTTACCTACGTTTAATCAGTCTTTTCGTTATTTCTTATTTATATATGTATATTTTGCAGTTTATTTTTGAGAAGGATATTAAAGGTATCTACTTAATTTTAATTGAACGTTATAAGTGTATTTTTAAGATTAAATGAACAAAATTATATTGTTTTTCGACGTTCATTGCTTTTTTGCCCCTTTTTTTGACTAAAGATGTTCACTTGTTCACGAAATATATTTTTCACTTACTTATACGTTTATACTCACAACTATGTCCAAATACAAACAAATTTTTAGCGATTGATTACTTCCGAAATACAGAAGAGAAAATTCAGTCACGTGACATAATGCAACGGAGGATATCTTTAAACATTTAACCTACAATTATCGATCAGTTTGATCGTTTTCATACTTTTACATTCTTACGTTCAAGGTCGTTTATTTTTTATTTGCTATGCTCAATATTTTATTCATCAAATGGTAACATGAGAAAAGTGTATTATTAAATCTAAATGACTAGATCAAAAACATTTTCCAGATCTGCGTATCACTGTCGCCCAAGAGTACAGAAAAGGTGAACATAACCTAAACATTTTCGAAATCCTGTCTTTCATATTGCTTTCTAAAAATATAAACTATGTAACAAAAGATCAGTTTTCTCATAAACAAATACATACTCTAAAAATTCTTAGCTTCAATATTAATCTGGCCTAAACTTTCGAAAAATGTAGTCAACCTATTTGTTACATTTGGAAACAAACGAGCCTTGTATACGTCAATGTAACCGTTTAATGAGAAACGAAGTTTGCATAAACCAAAAACTTATTCGTTATGCAAAAAAGTAACTGGTTTAGGAAATAGAAGCAAGAATAAATCTAGAAGAAAGATCAAGAAACAAAGCGAGTAACTTCTAATTTTCTGTGAATTCTGTATTTCAGCTCTTATCTTATGTTTTTAAAAAATCCGTCTCCTGTATTAATTATTAAATCGATATTCTGCAATTTGTAAAATTACTAAAGATTTCATGTACCGTGTACCGGGAAAAAATAAATTTGAAAAAAACGAATTGAAGAAAGTATATTTTTATAAAATTAGTTATTACCTGTGACTAGTATTGTTTTTTTATTTAATAAATTTCCTACTTTTTATAATACCCTTTTACCGTTCTAGTTCTCACACTTTTTAATCCTATAGCTCACTAACATATAATTATTTATGTTACTCACTAGTAAAGACTTCAGAGTCTAACTAAAAACTGATCTCGCACTCTTTATTACGCCACAGGAGGTAAAAATATTTTGGATGTGTAACATCTTTCCGCTCGGTATCAGGGAATGATTTCGTGAAAAGGGTCAGTAATGTGTAACAGAAAACCAGGGAAGCGCGCGCGCTATTTAATTTGACGAATGAGCGCGCGCAGTGGTGGAGAGATGGATGTGAGATTGTGTAAACCCATTTTGCGTGAGGTTAATACCACCACGTCGTATTATCAGCCAACATAGTGTGTGCGTGTGTGTAACGAGAAAGAAAAAGGGAAATAAAGAAAAAGAACGCATCAGCTGTGCACTTATCTACAGTTCTACAGTGTTGCGTATAAAATCTGAGGTTATATTTTGAGGTTATAATTCTTTTGACACGTTTGGGCGAAAGTGATGAGAGTGAATTTTACGATGCGCGCGGGCGAAGCGATTTCAAATTTTTCTTCTCAAGCGGTTACCCATCCAAGTTTCAATCGTACTCAAACGCTGCTTGACTTAAATGATCGAGCAGAATCTAGTGCTTTCACCGCGCCATGCCCGTTGACGCATAAAGTAATTTGATATAGGTCTCTTATATTTAGTGTGGACTGATATCTATATTTTGATATTTTTGACCAGAATTAATAAACATTTAAATTTCTGTTTAAGTCTCCGAGATGCCTAAAACTAATGCAGAGAAATGTAAGGAATATCTTCTTTGTAGGAAGAAGAATAAGGAAAATAAGGAAAATAAGGAAAACAAAATGCAAACTAATGCGAAACGTTGTAAGGTGTATAGGCTGCGAAGAAAAATGATTGCACAAAGATTTGAATTTATCTGGGAATGAAATTTTATGCATTCCGTCAACTTTTAATTTACTTTACGAACCATTAGCTTAGCCTATGATTAATGGTACAAATTTAAATAATACTAATGTCACAGCAAAAACTATTATTATTGCTAATTATTTATTTTATTTTTTCGGTCTTTATTTTTTAAAGTTATTTGATGTTATTTACATTTATTCAATACTAAACAACGAGTGGTGCCAGACGAGGATTTCCTTCAGAATTCGTGTAGCACTCAACGTGATAACGATTTATGTACCATTTGTAAAGATTATAGATTCTTAACGTTTATTTGAAATACGCGGCTCAATCATTTTGAGAATATTGAGAATATCGAAATGTTGTTATCAAGCCACCCCACTCTTCAAACCGTTGCTAAGCACGTCCTGCTGGATCCATCAACAAAGCCACTCGTCATATTCTTTAACTGGACGGCTACGACGTCACGTTTTAGACAACCAGTGAAGATTTTACAAAGAAACCGACGACTAAACCGATATTTCTTATTTTAATTAAACCCTGCTTCTTTTTTTCACGTATAAATAAATAAATTAGATTATACTTAATAATTAGACCTTTATCAATTGTATTAAACATGTTTTTTTTATTTTATCATTTTATCGTCTTATTGTCAAATTTAGAATGAGTATTATATTGGCACGAAGGATAGTTGGCGTTATTTTTGATGTTTTTTTTGGAAGTTATTTTGAAGTTATTTTTAAGGTTATTGAGGGTATACTCGTTTTAGTACGTTGAAAAAGTATAACTTTTTGTGTGCAGTTTTTCTTTACATGTGTAAACTATTTTAATAATTGTATTTAGTGTTAAGCGCCTGACAAAGTTCATCATTCTTAAACAAATGCGAGTAAGTAGTATGGAATAATTCGAATAAATATTTTAATGCGTATCATTTTCATGCTTAGAGGTTAATTCCTGTCGCTGTCATTATAATATTTTTAATTGTGATTGAAAATGTTTTCTCGATTAAAAAAACTAAATAATTAATTATACGGGTAATTTTGATTTTCTCCAATATTTCTAATTTTTAAACAGTTACCAAGCTAATTAAATTTTCATGATTTCGTGATGTGTAGAGATAGGTAAATACACAGCAGAATTAATGCGAAATTATCGGCAAAAGAAACGTAAGGAAAAATTACAAACTAGAGGAGTACAGCCAAAAAAAATTGCGCATAATTCAACTCTACGCAGCAG